GCCGGAATTATCTCTGACTTTGACTTGGCCGGAATTATCTCTGACTTTGACTAGGCCGGAATTATCTCTGACTTTGACTTGGCCGGAATTATCTCTGACTTTGACTAGGCCGGAACTATCTCTGACTTTGACTTGGCCGGAATTATCTCTGACTTTGACTTGGCCGGAATTATCTCTGACTTTGACTAGGCCGGAACTATCTCTGACTTTGACTTGGCCGGAATTATCTCTGACTTTGACTTGGCCGGAATTATCGGACTTTAACTAGGCCGGAATTATCACGGACTTTGACTAGGCCGGAATTATCTCGGACTTTAACTAGGCCGGAATTATCTCAGACTTTGACTAGGCCGGAATTAACTCTGACTTTAACTAGGCCAGAATTATTTCGAGCTTTAACTAGGTTGGAATTATCTCGGACTTTGACTAGGCCGGAATTATCTCGAACTTTGACTAGGCCGGAATTATCTCGAACTTTGACTAGGCTGGAATTATCTCGGACCTTGACTAGGCCGGAAATTATCTCGGACTTTAACTAGGCCGGAATTATCTCGGACTTTGACTAGGCCGAAATTATCTCGGACTTTAACTAGGCCGGAAATTATCTCTGACTTTAACTAGGCCGGAATTATCTCTGACTTTGACTAGGCCGGAAATATCTCAGACTTTGACTAGGCCGGAAATTATCTTGGACTTTAACTAGGCCGGAAATTATCTCGGACTTTAACTAGGCCGGAATTATCTCAGACTTTGACTAGGCCGGAAATTATCTCGGACTTTAACTAGGCCGGAAATTATCTCGAACTTTAACTAGGCCGGAATTATCTCTGACTTTGACTAGGCCGGAATTATCTCGAACTTTGACTAGGCCGGAATTATCTCGGACCTTGACTAGGCCGGAAATTATCTCGGACTTTAACTAGGCCAGAATTATCTCGGACTTTAACTAGGCCGGAATTATCACGGACTTTGACTAGGCCGGAATTATCTCGGACTTTGACTAGGCCAGAATTATCTCAGACTTTGACTAGGCCGGAATTAACTCTGACTTTAACTAGGCCGGAATTATTTCGGACTTTAACTAGGTCGGAATTATCTCGGACTTTAACTAGGCCGGAATTAACTCTGACTTTGACTAGGCCGGAATTATATCAAACGTTAAGTAGGCCAAGATCATTTTATTTTTCATAATTAACTACTAATCTAAAATAGAGTTTATGATGAAACCACATTTTTAGTTTGTGGTTTTAAATGTAGTTAGAAAGGTTTAAAGTAAGTCGCTGTTCATGAAATGCTGTTTATGTTTATTCTTAGAACGATTCTTCATTGGAAAAACTCTGTCTCTGCATGCATGAATTTGCAGGTGCAAGATTTCGGTCTGCAGCATTTGTTTGGAATGAGGAGCCTTCGTCTTCTGTCTCTTGCAGGTATGATTTCTGCTTCACTATCATTCCCTTCATAAAGTCTGAGTATGATTAATGGTAACCTGACTGAACTGTTTCGATGTCTCTGATGTTTGACGTTAAAGGGGAACGCCATTTACATGAATGAACGGGAGCCGGCCGCTTTGTTTTTAAAAGATATAAATCTAATAAATCTGCGGATGTCTGGGGGCCAGTGATTGGCCTCCATGTTCTGAATGCTGGCGTACCATAAAGAATAAATGATGAACAGTTTAGTTTGTGCCTTCCAGTCGTTGCCCATAGGAAGACGTTACTGGATATAACCTAACGGAATATCTTCAGAACGGCTCCAAATGACACTAAACTCATATGGGTGAGTAGAACATGATGGAATAACGGAAAATCAAGGACCCAATGTATAAAAGAACCGGCGTTCCCCTTTAAATGTCTTCAAACTGTGGCTGGTCGAATGCTAGCAGCTCCTCTCTGGTGGGTCTCTCTATACTCCTCAGCCAACTGCTTCTGTTGCCACCTGCAGCTGCGGCTTTAGGAGAAAAACTGAAGATAGGCTGGATCTGCAGAGTTTCAATGCCCCCGAGTTAGCTCAGAGTTAGCTTATGAAATGCAGCGCCACCTGCCTGTTATTCACAAGTCCTTCAGTTTCCCCTCAGGAAAGGCTTTCAGTTTGTAAATAGTGAAATAATACTCCTGTCTGAGCTCCTCCTTGATATTAATGTTGTCCCTCTTCAGTTTCATGTTCCCACTCTTCAGTCCCACTCAGCTCCCCTGAGGAGGCACTAAAACAGACAGCCTGGCTGGAACAAACCACTGATGGAAATGTTTAGGAAGTGGGCCGATTGGAGAGGGGCGGGGCTTAGTAGAGCCCATGGAGAAGAGTCATTAGTACGCCGCTTCTCAAGGCCTCAACAACAAAGAGACCATTGTAGAGATATGGAGGCAGGGTGCAACCTTTTCAAAAGAGGTCTGTGGATTTAGGCACTTAATGGTCATTTTACATTTCATACATATTAATCACACCATTAAATGTCTAATTTGAATAAAAAGTTCAGTTCTAAAGCACCAAGCTAATCACAATCAAACAAAATAACACACAATTCATAAAAAACTGAGAATACTGGTAGACAGATTTGTTCATAGATAAAAGCTAATTAAAGAAGACCCTTTACTTTCTGAGGTCTTCCTGTTTTAAACAACCCTTTAAAAACCTGCAAGAAACCTAAAACATGGTCAATGTCCCGAAGCCAGGTGGCGCCATTGAGTTAAGAGACTCCAAAGTTCTTTGCAATACATTCAACCATTGCACATGGGAGCCACAGCTGACCTGGAGCACACAGCTGACCTGGGGCACACAGCTGACCTGGAACACACAGCTGACCTGGGGCACAGAGCTGACCTGGGGAACACAGCTGACCTGGAGCACACAGCTGACCTGGGGCACACAGCTGACCTGGGGCACACAGCTGACCTGGGGCACATTGACAGCTAACCTGGGGCACACAGCTGACCTGGGGCACACAGCTGGCCTGGGGCACAGAGCTAACCTGGGGCACACAGCTGACCTGGGGCAAACAGCTGACCTGGGGCACACAGCTGACCTGGGGCAAACAGCTGACCTGGGGAACACAGCTGACCTGGGGCACATTGACAGCTGACCTGGGGCACATTGACAGCTGACCTGGG